CAAAAACTTTCAAACCCATTACAAACTAGGCATTTGTTGCATCCAGTGGGGACATAATTACAGATTATAATGACTTTTACTGTCTTTTTACGCATTGCGTTGCATCGCGCCGCGTAAACATAAAACCATGTCTGCATTTGTGATCGGAGAAATGACAAACAACAAGCGCTACTCTACACTGCTCAAAACTCGCGTTTGAATCATCAGTGGCAAATCCTTTAAATGAAAATCTACTTACAGTCTGTGAGTCAGAACAGCCGGCATTGTAGTCTACTCTACCAGGATCAGGAAACAGTCCTCCATAAAATGTGCTGCACACAAATGAATATTTGGGTTAAAATGTTCTGGAACAGCAACACTGTTCCAGAACATTTTAACCCAAATATTCATAAATACAACTTAACCACTGATTTCTAGTCGTGTCCTCTTTTGGAAGACCAAACAAGTAGTTTCGCTTTCACAATGAAACACACGGCGGGCTAGAGTGAGCGCCGGCCTGCAGCTAGAGTGAGCAGTGGCGGGCAGGCTAGAGAATGGCGAGGCCGGCGGATTCGACGAAGGAGCGGCAACCACATGTGACGACCCCAGGCTGGACTCCGCTTCGTCCACGGTGAAAGCCGATCCGGCAATCCACAGCGCAAAGTTGATGTATTTCCTCAGCGACTAGCACAGATCAGCTCTAGGCATGACGACGCAGATATCGTCCTCTTTTAGAAGGCCAAACAAAGTAGTTTCGCTTTCACAATGAAACACACAGCGCCTTCATGGCGGCAGCAACCATAGTACAGCGAGAATAAAAGTTACGCCTTTCTTTGCCTGAACATTTGGGCGCCGTTATGCAAATCTTCCCACATCGTGACGTAGACATGTGGGGGCGTGTTAGAACAAGCCGTTTAGGTAGGCGTGGTTGACTCTTAAATTTTATAAAGAATATCTCTTTGGATTTGAGACTTTAGTCTTTGCAACTTTACAGATCTTCTTTAGGCACCAAGACCTTGTAACACTCCAAAGAGAAAGGAAAAATTGAAATCGCATCATATGACCCCTTTAACATTTTCATAAGTAACTGTAATTTAATTACAAATTTTTGTAATTTAATTACACATTTTTTTCTCAGTAACTGTAACTGATTACAGTTACATTAATTTTGTAATTAAATTACTTAATTACGTTACATGTAACTAGTTACTCCCCAACAATGGTCTTGATTGTACATGCCAGAATGCCCCCCAAGAGAGCATTACAATAGTCCAGTCTGGAAAGAACAAAAGCTTGAGTTGAGTTGAACAAAAGAGTTGTGTGGCCAGCTTTGATAGGAAGGGTCTAATCTTCCTAATGTTGGATAAGGCAAATCTGGAGGAACGGGCCATTGTAGCAATATGGTCTGTGAAGCTTAACTGATCATCAATCACAACTCCAAGGTTCCTGGCTATCCTGGAAGTTGTCATGGTTGAAGAACCTAGCTGTATAAAGAAGTTGTGATGAAGTGCTGGGTTGGCTGAGACCATGAGCAGTACTGTCTTAGCAAGGTTGTTGAAGGTGATGGGCTTCAGTAACAGAGAGCGGGGCAGTCTCAGTTGAGTGGCTGTTTTTGAAGCCAGATTGGTTGTTGTCCAGGAGGTTGTTCTGTGTGAGAAACATGGAGAATTGGTTGAACGCAACTTGCTCAAGTGTCTTTGCAATGAATGGAAGAAGGGATACCAGTCTGTAGTTTTCTAAAAGTGCTGGATTTAGAGAGGGTTTCTTAAGCAGTGAGGTTTCCCGATCCTGCTTAAATGCTGTGGGAAATGTACCAGTGTGAAGAGAGGTGTTGATAATGTGAGTGAGCGCAGGTATAACTGAAGAAGAAATGGCCTGAAGGACGTGAGTGGGCATAGGATTAAGCGGACAGGTAGTAGGACGATTGGAAAGGATAAGATTGGAAACATCTGCCTCCGAAAGTGGAGAGAAGGATAGAGAGTGTGTATTTGTTGCTATGATGTGTTTGTCAGTTTGTGGTGTGGAGAATTTTCCACTGATGGTTCTTGTTCAGTCGTCAGCTGTAAGAGTTGATGAAGGAGGGGGAAGGAGGACAAAGAAAGAAGAGGTTTTGAAAAGGTTGCGAGAGTCAGAGCAATTGTTAATTTTGTTGTGTTAGTTTGTCGTTTTAGCAGTGGAGACATTTGTAAATAAGGAAGAGAGGAGTAACTGATACAAACTAAGGTCAGTAGAGTTTTTTTATTTGCACCACTTCCTCTCTGCAGCCCTGAGCCTAGAGATATGTTCACAGAGAACATCGGAACATTGTCTAAACAAGATGTTAGAGTGGCGCAAAGAGTGTCAGTAGCAGTGTTAGTGTCCATTGCTGAAAACTGAGAGAATGGAGAAAGTGAGGATGAAACAATAAAGTATAGGTGAGAGGGAGAGAGTGAGCGTAGGTTATGCTGAAAGGTGACCTGTAGAGTAGTGTGTGTTGTGTCAGGAGTCAGTTTGAAGTTAAAAGTAATGAGGAAGTGGTCTGAGGTGTGTCAACTAACGTGCTGTCAGTGGAGCAGTATCATGTGTAGATAAGATCTCCAGATTTTAAATCACAAACTTTCAGCTCCAGCTAATAAGCAGCCATTGAGATAAACAGGAATGCTAATGGATAGCTTTCTCAAGGTATTACAGACCTGCTTGGTTTGACAACAGTCATTATGCTTGGCACAGAAATTACACACTTCACCAAGTATTCTTTTACAATGCATTATTCTATTTTCTTTAAGCAAAAGCTGTCATCTTGAACACCAAAACGGAAACCAAAAAAGACCCCTAATAGACTAACCCCATGAAAGCAGAAGGTACTGCTTGCCTGCTATCTTTCTTCTCGACCTGAAAGTCTAGTGAAACAGACTGCATGGAGCAGAGAGACTAGAGTAAATCTGTCTCCTACATGAAAGCATCTTTGATAGGCCTCTACTCTCATCTCATCTCCACAAGCATGCCACTAATGTTCTGCCTCCCAGCCAAAATATCCCCAGCAACACCTGGCACCATGAAGGAAAAAAAAGTGATTAAATCATTAGAGAAACACATGGGAGGATGGAAAAGAGAGAGTGGGAGAGCAAAGAGGTAACGGGGCAGGGATGAACAACTTCATACGCTTGGCACTGCGTTCCTGGTGCCGTGCCCATTGTTTATGTCCACACACATCAAAGGCTGCAGTGATCGCTGCTGTTTGTGGGCCCACATCTCCAGTTCACCTTGCCTGGCCTGTTATATGCTATGGGCCAGAGCAGTGCCGGAAGACGGCATTCCTCACTGAGCAGGCCAAGAAGTGTGTGAAACTGGGCATTAGAATGCCAGTACGCCTAATGAACGAACATTAGGAGATGAGCTTCTCATAACACAGCGTTTGGAGCAGCTACAGGTCTTCACCAGGGGCCTGATGTATAAACGCAATTTTTCACGCACATATCGGGATTTATAAAAAATAAACTAGGCGTAAATATGTGCGAACCGTACATACACTCTAGACCAGTGGTTCCCAAACCTGTTCTGGAGGACCCCCTGCCCTGCACATTTTGTATGTCTCCCTAATCAGACACACCCAATTTAGTTCTTGCAGTCTCTACTAAAGAGCTGATGAGTGGAATCAGGTGTGTTAGATAAGGGAGACATACAAAAGGTGCAGGGCAGGGGGGCCTCCAGGACAGGTTTGGGAACCACTGCTCTAGACCATGCGTACACACTCTGTTACTGGAGGGAGCGAAATAAGGAAGCAAACAGAATGATTTTTTTAAGTCTGTTTTACATTTGACATACACGTTTAGATTAAATATGACACTCTGAATGATGAAGTTAAGCACTGAAATATCATGAAATTATTATCCAGAAATTACAAAATATTTATATGAATTTAAACAGAAATATTTGCAGTGGATGTGCTGCTTTCGAACAGTTTTCCTGTGGTATGCGATTTAATGTTTTAATCACAGCGAGGATTACTTAGTGTATGACAATTCCGCTTTAAATTGTGCTCTAAATAGCAAAACAAATAATGATCATTGATGTGAACTTGATTCGTCTGATGGCTTTGGAACACAGATGGTAACGACAGACATATGGATGCGCTCGTTGATCAAACAGTCCATTGGTCTGATGACAGTAGAACCTCTGTTCACAGGTGTCGCGCACAGACAGTAGCCTAATTATAACCCCTTTCGTGCTCTTCCCAATATTGTGACAAACACCATATTTAAAAGATAAAATTTGAAGGAAACTATAAGATATGCACGTTTTATTTTCAAAATGTTTTGTTATTGACGCGGTGAGTCAGACAGTTATTTACACTGCAAAAAAAATAAGGCCTAACTCTTTCCATAAAAATAAAGGCTATAAACATTCTAAAATATATGTTTTCCTTTTAAGCAAATTGCATAAATTATAATAGTGATGTCTCAAAAAACACATTTATAGGCCATATCTCATATTTTCCTAACGTATTCCTACCCTTAACTGCGTTAAACATGGTGTCATGTGGATGGAATATGCATGGAAATGATATGCAGATGACGTTATGCATATTAAAACTAGGTGTTTTAAGCTCCATAAATGGCTATTTCGAGGAGGAGACAGGGTGGAGATTCATGTACGCACAATCTTCCGCTGACTGGGTATTACAAAGGTAATTTTACGCAGGTTCTGGCGAACGTATGGCTTTATAAATCTGAAAACTTTTGTACGTATGCAGAATCTAGCTTTTGTGCGTACGCACACATTTAGGATGAAATCTACGTAAAGTTTTATACATGAGGCCTGCTGGTGGAGTGGCCTCGCGACAGGCCTCCGCTCCGGACTGTATCCTCAGGCTTGCTTGAGTAGCCGAGCCCAACCCGAGCAAATGTTTACTGGGTCTAAACGTCCATCTGTGTCCCTCGGTGCCCTCTGAATAAGTGTAAAGTCATATAAAAACACTGTTAAGAAGAATATGGAGTTTGAATTCACAAACCTAACTCTGCAACTATTTTTCTCTGTTACAGGAAACTTCAAAGGATTGTGTAAGCAGATAGATCACTTTCCAGAAGACACAGATTATGAAGCAGATGCCTCAGAGTACTTCTTACGTGAGTGCCTCCTTAGTGTTTCTGTGACAGTATTCATGTTCTCACCATCATGTTCTTTCTTGTTCAATCTGTGAGGCATTTCAAGTAGTACCAGATATGCTATTTTTGCCCAAGTGCTGTAACTGCTGAAAAAAAAGTGTGTGGGGTGGGGGGGGTGTACATGTACAATCTTTGAAAAACGGAAAAAGTCCAAAAGTTTGGATAAGGTTATTACCAGGCCCGCAGAACTCTGCAGATATCCCATTATTCATAAAGTTATAGATATTCTTGGCTAATAATTAAATAAAATATTAAAAGGGTCATGAACTGAGAAATCAAATTTCCCTTGATCTTTTGACATATAATATGTTAGCGTACTATAAAAACATCCTGTAAGTTGAGAACTCAAAACTTTCTCATTAGTTTAAAAACAACTTTTATTGAAACCAAGCTCAGAAAACAACTCATTTTGGAATGTGCCACATTATGACGCAATAGTGTGGCTAAGCACCGCCTCCGCAGGAGAAGATCAACACCTGCTTCTTAGCTCCGCCCACTGATGTACGCCAGTAGTATAAGGAGAGGAAATACTAGAGAGGCAAACACAGGATTACTCCATCAAAAGAACCATACAGATTACATTATAAGATTACAAGACACTGTGTAAGTTGGGAAAAATTGTCTTTGAATTGCCTTCCTTGTGATCCTAACATATCTAGATTGGACGCGAGTGCTTTTGCATCATGTTACGAATAAATTTCTCTTTCAGGTCAGAAGCGGCGCAGATGCTTGTATGTCAGAAATAGAGCAGGACATCAGTTTACTGTTGGAGATTGGTTATGTCAATCCGTGCCACATCCAGTGTAGACAGAATCACCGATTATGATGGGTTCTGTTGGCTATAGTCGCGTTGCACTGCTCGCGTCTGGTGTAAACACGGGGTAAAATTAACAAAGAGCTCTAGATCACATCAGTGAAACACTGTTTGTTTGCTTGCTTTACTTTGCTATGGATTCATTTTTAAACAAGACAGAGATGCAGGCTTTTCAGAGAGACTGAAAGTAAACGATGATGCAGTGCTGAGACTGACTAGAGTGGATCCGACAGTAATGTCACAACACATAAGTGTGAGTAAAGGTGCTTTTACAACTATTGCAGTGTCTGTTCCAGACCATTTAATATATACTGAGTATTTATAAATTTTTAACCCAAATGACCCATGTTGTTTTCAGAGTACGTCACAGCAGCATCCATCTGTTATTTTAATAAGCAAAACTGTTAGCCAATCACAGCAGTGGGCATTTACTTGCGAGTCTTGAATGTGCCCTGCCTATAAAAACAGAGCGTTCTGCAGAGAGGCTCAAAAACAGGATAGAAAATAGCCTATTACTTCTAAATTATGCCTATTACTTCTAAATTATTATGTTTTTGTCACATTATAAGTGAACCTCAGAGAACATTATAAAATTGTTTTTAAAAAATGCAGTTCATGAACTCTATAAAATTGTTTTATTAAAATAAAAAAAATGGTTATGGTTAAAATAAAAATTAATTGTTTAAAAAATGGTTATTCTTTATTTTATTTTATTTTTAATTAAATTAAATATTACAATTGTATTAATAATTAAAAAAATAAATATTGTGGATTATTTTAGCAACCAATAAGATTGTAGTACTCTAACAGCTGTTTAAAAAAATCTTTGCTTTTTTAATTAAAAATGTAATCAATTATTAAAATATTATTAATAATTAAAAATACTAAATATTGTGGATTATTTTAGCTATCAGTTACAAATAGGAATGTAATACTCTAACCACTGTTTAAATGAATAGTTATTCTTTATTTTTGTATTTAAAACTTTAATCAAATATTAAAATTTTAATAATAATTAAAAATACTAAATATTGTGGGTATTTTTAGATTTCAAAACTAAAACTATTACCAAACTAACTATTAACTATTCTTTATTTTGTAATGAAATATTTATAAATATTAAATATAATATTTATAAAAATATATATTAATATTATATTAATAATTAAAAATATGAAATCAGAAGCTACCAATAAGAATGAGATCTTATACACATTTTAATGTTTACTGTAAATTACTTTTAGAAAATTCAGCAGATTTTCTCAAAAAACATTTTCGAAAAGTATAAAGGAATTTAAAAGAAAAAACTCTTACACTAAATGAATGCAATAGACCTGTATTTCAAGTAATCTCCAAGTCTTTACTTTGTTCCACCTATCTTTGGTTTTCTCATGCTGTTCAGCCGTGGTAGGATGGTCTGTTGTCTCTGCAGGAGGGTGTGAATGTTTCCTCACTCTGTTTAGACTCTCAGCAGCGGCAGACTCTCTAGCTCGTACAGTACGGCTCAACTAGGCCCGATTACAGTGCACTGGCTCCCTCGTAAACACATAGCATTGATTTCCACTCTTTTTTCGTCTGCGCAAGCAGACCCGGGAAGTGAGTGTCAAACAAGCCACATGCATCAGTCCTAAACTCACAAGCAGGACTATCAGTTACTGTCATCAAAACAAGGGCCTGAATTGACCAGAAACAACATGGTAACAACCAACAGTAATTAAAGATTCTGGAACAGTTGGCAGGAAAACAATGGCAGGAGAGAGAAGGAAAATTAGTCTAAAGGGTTTATACAGGGTCCGTCCTGGTTTTTGGATTGTTTAAAAACTTACTAAAGCTGTGTTAATGTCATCAGTGAAATTACTGACGAACAATGATGAAGACAAAACAAAAAAATGTGCATCATGACAATAGTTCCTCGATTTTTAAATAAAACATATACGCCGGTCCTCTTAGCAGCATGAAAATAAATAATAGCCTCGAAAGTGCGAAAGACCGCTCACTTTACAATCACTAAAAAGCTGTCACTCATCTAAGTTTGCAATCTCACAACATTCCATTAAAATCAATAAAGTTGTCTACACTGCCTAATGAATCTCTTACTTGCATCGTGTAGTTGTTTGTTAATAAGGGAGGATTTGCGAGAGCGAGCTTATGCTCAACACTGAACAAAAACTCTGGTGCTTTTTTTTGATTGGTCATTGCATTCAAGAGATCAACAAACATGTCTGTGATTGGCTAAATTTCTAACCGCTGCAAAAACACGCTGTAAATAGGAACGTTTCACGTTCTCCAGAGCTCAAACTCAAAAATGCAATGGAGTGTTTGCTAAATCTGTAACGCCAATATTATATCATTACAGTATCAACTGTGGGTGCTCTAGCTTCGTTTCAGCATGCTTATATTTAAAATTGTCTTTGTGATGTTTTTAACCCTGTTTTATTTAATCTATTTTAACAAAAAAATGATTTGTGATCAAACTAATTGGCAGATCCCTGGTTGAAGACCCTTGTTTTCATGTATAATTTATTCCTGGCAAAGATGAATTTTCAGCAGCCATTACTCTAATCTCCAGTGTCACATGATCCTTCAGAAATCATTCAAATATGATGATTTGCTGCTCATAAAAACATTTCTTCTTCTTCTTTTTCTTCTTCTTCTTCTTCTTATTCTGTGCTGTTTAATATTTTTGTGGAAACACTGATACATATTTTCAGGATTCTTTAAGGAATAGAAAGTTTAAAAAGAACAACATTTATTTTGTAACAATTTAAAAGACTTTTGATCAATTTAATGTACCCTTGTTGAATAAAAGTACTAATTTCTTTAAAAATATTATACTAATCACAAACTTTTGAATAAAACAAAAAACAAGTCTAAACAAAAAAAACATAATATTAACAATGAACTAACAAACTAACATTTTTTGAAGAAAAATCTTTAAAGATAGAATTGTTCTGAATAATCCAATCATAGTTCAAATGCACATTACAGTAAACTGTATAACTTTATTAGTAAAATTTAAGTCACGTTGTAAAAACTCTCTTTCTGTAACAACAAATTAAAACATGGACAATGAATATCTAAACATGACTGTTGTGACACATTTTGCACCATGTTTTTAAAATGCTGTGTAAAGTAAAACACTTGATAAACCTGCACTTTGTGCTATGTTCTTGTGCTCTGTTTCACTGAACTGATCCAAATCAACATATAACACAACATTTTCAACTGTTACTTATTTAAATCAGCTCAGACTAACATTTATCAGTAATAATATGTTCAGCCAAAAGTCTTAGAATCACAGCTAAGGAATCAGGCGTATCCTTCACAGCGTTTGCCCATCCTGTCAGAACCGTTTAAACTACTTAACCGAACACCCATTGGTAAGATGATGATATCAGATAAAAGACCATACAATTATCCCAGTACAGATCCTTCTTCAGTATTGAAGCTTCATGCATCACCCCAAACCGGTGGCTGACCTGCTGTAATTGACTCTTCACTGAGCCTGTGATAATAGCTCACACAGTTAAACAGCGCAGGTTTTGCAGTTATGCGAGAGCACTGACCCCATTGCGGTTCATCGTTAATTGACACTGTCATAATGATGCATTCGCTTTCTAAGCGCCCAGGCCTCCATCTGAACGACTGAGTCAGATCTGTCCAAGCGTTTCTCACACTTTGGGCTGCTAGGTGGGTGCCGAGCCGGTCACATTGCGTGCAAACTCCACAGATAAAGCCTTGCCAGTGGGTCTTGGTGCTTTGAGCACTTGTGCTGTCGCATTTGCAGCAATAAAGACAGTTATGATAACAAGTTCAAACTGCTCAAAGAATGACACCCAGAGAAAGGCTCTGACAGTGGGACTAATGGACTAGGAGTGGTCGAAATGACATGCAAGCTGGGATTGAGAACTACCGCAAACCTCACGCTTTAAGTGTGTGCGTGCACGTATATGAACACATGTGTGTTTGTCCTTTTCCTTAGCTGTGATTGGATTAATAAGCCGCAACGCTCCCAGTGGCTTGTGAATTAGGACACTCACTTCCATAAATATTTCAGCCTCTTTCTTATATAGGTCAGCTTTCTGTCTCTCTCACTTTTTCTCCTCTTCTTCCTACTTCTCTTCTCCTTGCATGTCTTATCCTCTCA